AATGCACCACGTGTTGTTACAAGGCAGCAAAGTGTGTCAACTCAATATTTTTTTTTCAACAAGTGTTTTTCTCTGGCTCACTGGGGATAGCTCAAGTGTTACCTCTGGCAGTGTTAACACCGTCTGTGCCCGTTACAGTCGGTTCAAATTGAACACGGTGAAATGAATGCAGTTGACCTCAAATTGAAGTATTTTATGGTGGTAAAAGTTAAAGGTGCAGCCTTGAAATTGCTTGCTGATGCCTTTGCTGCGGGAAGGGCCTCCACTTCGAGGAAAGCTTTAGAGAGCCCCCTTTAAAGGGTACATGGCCTCCTCTTCCACACTGGCCAGACATTTTCTAAGAGGAGGGAGGACCCACACTCTACTCTACCACACAATTCCTGCCAAATGACTAACCATGTTTTAATGCCGGGTAAACAGAGGCGGGGAGATTTCAGAAACTTGCCCATTCTTTCTTTCATCTCCTACACTGGGATTACAAGTCCATTGTGCTAACCATCACACACACCATGGCAGTATCCCTACAGTGGAACGGAGAATGATTCATATTCACAGGGGAAATTACCTTGGAGGGCCTCGGACAATGTATCGACGATCATAAATAGTGACTGTATTTTACTCTCGGAGATTCCATTGGAAATTGAAGTATCTTTTGCAAGAGCGACCTGGCTTAATAATTGACGACAGAACAGCATGATTGGCTACGTACGGTGCAAAGGAAGTTGAACGTAGATACATGCAGTGCAGTTTAGGACCTAAACACTAGAGAGCTAAAGTGATCTGCAAGTTCGAGTATTACATCAGGTGGAGATTGTGAAAACGAGCAAATAAATATGCAATTGTGGACCACACAGAACTGCATAAAATGAGTGGTTGCATTTTGCTTAACCTCTGAAAAAAAAATGATCAGTGCACCAGACCAAGGAGGTCAAAGTGCTGAGCAGCTATCGCTGAGATATCGGGTCGAATTTGGGTGGCCACCCACGATTAAACTGAGGTCTTGAGTGTAGTGGGTTGATGGTCTCAGGCCTGGTGACCATAGATTGGATGAAAAATAAATGACAATTGGTTTTACATTTTAATTTGTCTGAATTCCAGTTGTGAGAAGCATTTTTTTCTTCATACCGGATTGACCGTCACGTGACGATCTCACGTCAGAGTAAGCGAGAGAGTGTGCCACTTAATGTGTAAGCAATTAAAATGGACACATTCAGGATATTCCAGAAGTCTTGTGAAATAAACCATCCAGTTATTATCTGACCCAGGGAGCACATTCACTCTTCTGCGAGATGGTTTCTTCATTTTATAATATTTCGTCAACAGTAAACCACTGTGTCTGTGGGGCCTTACTTGCCGGTGTCAAAATATGATGAAAAATAAGTAATAGGGTTTTACCCTTCATCATGGCAATAAAACAGGAGGTGTTAAGATGTCCAAACACCAAATAGATACCTTGTGCAAGGCGTCAATTCTGCATTAACCACACGTACTTGTGGCAAAGCATGCAAAGAAACCTGCTCTAATAATACATGCATTGTCTGCACTCCTTCAAGAGAGGAGTAGCACAACTACACAAACTCTGTCTTGAAGTCCTCTTTTTGCTAGCATTACTCAACATTGGCGTTTAGCTTCTGAACATATAGCCACGTGCAAGAATAGAATATAATCTCATGATGCATGCTGATAAAAAAGCAGGAATTTTAAAAAAGAAACTCAAAACATTTATATATATAAAATAGAGTACACACATATATAGTTTGTATAATAACGTGCTGATGCCTAATGCAGGATATTGCACGGAAACAGATGTGTCACATTTCTTAAGGCATAAAAGCTACGTTTGTGAAAATGAACCTCAAACACTGATCCAAAAGTGTATAATTGTCTTAAATGAAAGCCATTCTTGCCAGAGTTTATTTTTACTCTTGCCTTAGAGCATTCTTTGAACCCCTCTCATCTTAGCGGACACATTGTTTCAGGGAAACATTCTATTAGTGGTGTGTGCAATTAGGTAATAATAGTAATGTTTCTCAGGAAAGTTTCAATGACCTGGAAAGTATAAGGGTCTTTTGCTTTTAGTTTGTAAGAAGCCAAGAAATCAAACGGCTTCTCAGGGCGCTTCTTGGTTATACTTGTTACTTGATTTGCTGTAATCAGGCCCGTGATTGGAATTAATCAGAAGAAAAATGCGCAGACTTTTGCCGCATTATTTGGTGATCCTATCATTTGGCTTTCGGCAGCAATTACTGCGCTGGCAAAAAAGGATTCTCTGACGGGCGGAATGGGAAAAATGCAACTTAATTGAAAACTCAGTCAGGTGGTGGCCTTGCCGCCACAGAAAAGTATTCCAGCCACGCCAACACCCACATTCCTCAAAACAAGAGGTACTGGGCCACGGAGCAATTGGGAATTTTCTGTACAAATAGCCTCATACAGCTTAACACATAGAGCCTTCGTTGTTACCCCCCCCCCCCACCTTTATTCCTCCTTAAATGCACTTAGGGGTTATGTTTTCTTAAAGGCTGCTGTTGCTTTTGAGCACAGCAGCGGCGGCGAGCGGCGAGCAACATCTCGCTTGGCTTTTGTCACTTCGAGCGTTCGCGACCCGAGCTTTTGATCTCGTGCCGATCGAGGCCGCGCGTGGATCGGCAGCCTCGGCCGCACTGTGGCCGAGAGCCCGCGGCGAATCGCGAGCTCGAAAGGCCGCGTCGTGTCACCGCGACACGAAGGGGAGTAAAAAAACCCACCGGCGACATCGGATTGTAAATTGAGCGATTTGTTTCCTTACTCGAACTACCACCACCACCTCCCTCACTCACTCCCCTTCCACGCCGTAACCCAACGCAATTCAACTGTGTGGTGGTGAGGGCTGAACGATTTTGGGAAAATATCTAATAGCGATTTTTCTGACCGATATTGCGATTGCGATTTGATTTGCGATTACATTTTTTTAAGTCAAGCTTCAGTTCAATATTCACTGTGTAATAGATTTAATGCATGTGATGGAGCATTACCACATGATATCATCAAATTATGAACTGCTCTATATATTCTAATGCAAGGATGAGAACTTAAAATACTTGAATTGCTTCCAACATGTATTTATTAAAATGTTTTAATTGAAATCAAAACAATCAACCATAGAACAATTGTTAAGTTAAAGAAAAAAAGTAAAAATTACAAAAATAAAACAATTCCAATAATAAAGTAATAGGACTTTTAAAATCTCAAAAAAATCACAGCCTTTGCGATTTGCTTAATCGCATTGTTTAAAAGTCGCGATTTCGATTTGAAATCGATTAATCGTTCAGCCCGAGTTGTGGTCAAATGAGCAACGCCCGGTTGGGTTTGTCTCGCGCGTGCGAAATTTCCCCGTGTGAAGAGAAGATGCGATCAGATACACAAAGCCGGGCGAGGAGGCTGTCTGGAGATTAAAGCCTCACAGTTGATGAGCGCTTGATGCGAGAGGTGGAGACGCTAACACAAACATTCATTTGTCTCGTCGCAGCCACTCTTTCATTGTCGGAGGGGGGAAAAAAACCCAACATCATCATGAAGGCAGTAAATCTTGCGCTTGGGAGTGGAGTGGTGGAGAAGTGCTTGGCTCGCTGCTGCTATGAATCTGGCGGCTCCAGGTTCAATGCCCTTCCCTGGCCAACATTGAGTAGTATCTGAACCAATCTTGGGCCACCCTTTTCCACCGACCTGCACTGAACATGCCTGGTTAGGCATGTTTGTATGCAGTGCCGGATTAAGCTAGTGCAGGGCCTGTAGCATATGTTATAAAGGGGCCCTAAATAAATAAAAACACGTTAAATATTCTATGGGGACCTCATTTGCCAGTAAAAATATGATAATTGGTTCTTTACCCTTCTATCTGGCAACAAAACTGACACCTCCTTGTAAAAAGGTGTCAGTTTTGTTGCCAGATAGAAGGGTAAAGAACCAATTATCACGTTAAATATTAAGACACAAACTTTTTAACTTGCATAATAAAGTAATTGTATTTTAAAATTTGCTATACAGCCAGATAATACGACAAATCGCTTACCTTAAACACCCAGTCGTTCATAAAAGTTGAAGGCAGTATAGTACTATAGTAATAGAGCAAGTACAGAATCACTGAACCGGAATTGATAGCTTGAAAGCATTTAGCGCGGGGCCCTTGAAAGTGCGGGGCCCGTAGCATGTGTAGCTACTTTTGCTACTCGGATAATCCGGCACCGTGAGTACGTATGCGTGTTGAACTTCTTTCGCACCGTACGTAGCCAACCGTGCTAATCGGAGGTGCGGTGGGGGGGACAACAAACTGAACACAAAGCCCCCCCCCCCCACCATGAGCAGCACAGCAGTGGACTGGCAAAGGGCCGTAAATTGTCACTTGTAATTATTATTACATAAGCCTTGTACTGCATTGCAAATACAAAAACACACAAAACGAACCGCAGATGCCATGCTATTTTAAATACGATGGGGAGGAAGTCGTTCCAAGAAGCGTCCATTTATTGTAACAACAGTACTACCGGATGACCATACGCTGAACGTCTCCTTTTCAGAATTGTAATTACATTGTACGCTAATTCTTTATGCACACAATATCATTCAATCATCCATCAAGTTATACTGGTAGGAACCACCTGGTTCCACCAGCCCACGGGGGATTATTGTGTCCGTCCGTCGTGCATCCAAAAATGGGATGGGTGGGGCTGGGTAGAGAGGGGAGGGTGGGGAGGGGCTGGGTGGGGAGGGTGGGGCTGGTTGGGGGGTTGGAGGGGGTGGGGCTGGGTGGGGAGGGGCTGATCACCCCGTGGTGCCCTTATAAAACTCAACGTTTAACCTACTCACGCCGGCTTGTGCCCACCCTCACAGTCGGCCATATTTGCGGAATACACCATGAAGCCGTTGACCCTGGCCATTGACCGAGCAACCCAACGTTCCTACCAACTCCCTCCGCAGGAATGTGTTAATGGATTGTTGTGTTGTCGCTTTGTGTTCTGCAGAAAAGCTGAACAATTCTACAGGCCGGGAACTCAGGAGAGCCCTTTTCTCCTTAAAGCAAATTTTCCAGGTGAGTCAAAGGGCTTCTGACGTAACATACTTAAATCCATTTACATTTCTAGCATTGATTACCGGTAAAGTTTAAGCTGAAATGCCACTATCCTTCACTTGGATAACATTTCAAATGACACATTTTTATTTGTAATGATGCTATAAGCTACACACTTTAAAAAAATATATGTATTTACCACGTAAGGCACAATGAGCTATATAGCTCTTTTTTCCGAAGTGACCTGGCCACAAATGATAGCTCAACAAAGTGGATTATCATCATGTGGAAATGTAGAGCAGCCAAATACTCCAAGCGTATGTTTCTAAATGTGGAGAGAAAAACCGGAGGATCCGAGGAAAGATCCACGCGACCACAGGGAGAACGTGCAAACTCCAAATATACAGGCGTCAGGGTTGAGATTGAGCCCACGACCTCTTGTATACCAGGCGAGGATAGCTAATAATTTGCCATCGCGATGCGGCATTACCAGTATGGTGTGACACCGGGTGGTAGTACAGCGGTCGAGCGAGCAGCTCGCAAGGAGAAGGTTGAAAGTTCAAATTCCTGGCTGGCGGTTGACTCAGCCCATCATCCCCGCAGGGGCGATATAATAAGTACCACTTTGTGAGTAAGTCCATCAGTGGTCGTCCAATGAATAGACTTGCCCCCATAATGAAAATGTGGGATCTGCACCACTGGCACATTGCTTTAAATGGAAGATGAGCACTGTCTCAATGCTTATTCGAGCAAGACGTGGTGTATGTATCTTGACTTGAAGCTTTCGTGACTACAGGAATTAATATTGTTTGTGTCTTTCAGTAAAGTCACGTAGATTGGTTTAAAAAAACTACGACGTTTCGATCGCAACACAAGCGACCTGATGACGGTCGCTTGTGTTGCGATCGAAACGTCGTAGTTTTTTATTTTTTAACCTATCTACGTGACTTTACCGAAAGACCCAAAGAATACGGTGTATGTATGTTAAACTGCTTTCGCGCAGTAACGTAGCCAACCGCGGCTAATCGGGCAACGTCAATGATTTCGCTTGGCTGAAACCACGGACATCGCCATCGCTCCTGCTGCTGACCTTGAGCCTCTTTGCAGAGTCACTGGCGTCGGCGGGGAAAGCGGCGGAGTCGGAGAAGCGTCTGGGTGGGATGCGTAGAGGGCAGCGCTGGGGGTTGGGGGTCCGGGTGCGGGGGCTGACTGGAAACAGAGCAGAGAGATGTGCCAATCACGAGACGGCCCTCTCGATGGTTTGCGTTTTTTCTAGCAGAAGTAAGCGGTGGGGGGAGGGGTTGGGGGGTTGGGGGGTGGAGATGAGGTTAGTTGCCAGTGAGACTTCTCCCTGCCGCCCCCACGGCACTGAGTGCTGATGGATTGATGTGTCTCCGGCTGCCAGCTCGGCGAGGCTTGTGAAAGCAAATGCCCCTGAGTGTGCCACACTTCCGCTCGCGAAGAGCGGAGATGGTAAGAGCGAAGGATGGGGCACGTCGACGTGGCAATTGGAAGAGAGGAATTGGTTGGTGGTAGCCGGGGAGGCGGGTGGGAGTGGGGATAGAGGGAGTTTTTTTTTTAATACTCTTAGTTCTTTCGGTAAAGTCACGTAGGTAAAAAATGAAATTTATAAAATAATAAAATCACGACGTTTCGGAGGCAACACAAGTCTCCGTCATCAGGTGGGACCGTACACAGCCAGACTTGATGCAGCAAATCTGGCTGTGACGGTCCCACCTGATGACGGAGACTTGTGTTGCCTCCGAAACGTCGTGAATTTATTATTTTATTAATTTCATTTTTTTACCTACGTGACTTTACCGAAAGAACTAAGAGTATGAATCCTTGCAGTCACGAATGCTTCAAATCTAGGTTTTTTTTTTTTGCTCAGGAAAGGTAAAGGAGTGGCTGAGAAAGGAGCTGTAAACAAGATTGTTGTATGGAAATTTCAACGAAGGAGAAACAGTTACGATGTGTAGATAAAACGGGTGAAGTACAAGTAAAATAACAGAAAGGGGAGGTGCAAGGAATGTGCAAAAACATGAGCTTAAAAGAAAACTTAAATAAGTAGACGGAATAATTAGAAGAACCTGTTAAACTAAAAGGTGGAGAGGAAACGACTAAATGTTCATCAGGAGCTACTCACAAGTCATCCTGTCAATCCTCCAGCCCCTTACTGGTATGTGGAGTAACAGTTTTTTTTGTTTTACAGTGGCAGGATAGGTCCTTAACTTTAGGAATCTTTGAGGGGTGTAACAAGATCTTTTCCTTCTGACTGCCTGGCAGCAAACGACCCATGGCACCTGCCCCACTGCACTCTGTGTGATGTACAGATACGGAGAGAATCAAAATCTCGAGGGCCCATCACAACTCCGGAAATAATAAGAGCATATTTTTGGTCTCCGATGATATTGTTTACAAAGTTTTTTTGTTCGTCTGCCGCCCCCGCTTTAAAAAAGGAACTGCCTCAGAAATCCACTCGAATGCCCTTAGCCAGGCAGAGGAAGCCATCAAGCACAAATTGAAGGACCTGCCATGGCTTGTTTGTAGGGTTCAACGGAGGACAAGGGAAAGTTTACGTCCAATAATTATATTTTTGCTCAACGAAAATAAATACCAATGGCTCCTTTAAAAGATAAATTGCACGGCGATGAAAACTTTTTGCACAGCTCAAATATATGTAAATATACCACGTTGTTTTCTTTGAATGCCTCTGAAACAGATTACGATTATTATTATTATTATTCATCGTTTCATTATTAAATAAATTTGCAAAGAAGAGCTAAATGTAGCCGCTCAGGATAATTGCTGACAGAGTATGAAGAAGGCTCGCTTTTGTTTCTATTCCATGTGGCTCATACCTCGTAGTAAATTCAGCCGTGACACGAGCACTCAGTGTCCCACTTGTGCAAATAATGTGCGAGAGAATCTTTAGAATTGGAAAGAGGATGGGTCAACCAGTGTGCATCAACGTATTTTGTAAGAATGCTGTACAGCGGCTCACGCGCTCACAGTTGGACATTTCAACAAACTCAGAAATAAATCTCAATCCACACGAACTTTGCACCCAGAGGTTTGTGTATCTCTCGGAGAACATCGTCACCCTCTTTGCCAGTGCTTCACATTCACGAGAACGTTGTTGAGCTTCCGCGGGAGATTTCTCCCGTTATTATTTACACACGAGCCGCAGCAGAAAACAAATCTTCCTCCCTTTTCTTTCCTTTCCAAGAACCCTCCTACCACCGTTAGGGGACAACGATCAGGAGCGCCAGATTTTCAGGAGAGGGAGGAGAAAAGGGAAGAAGGGGAGAGGGGCGGGCAGATAATGTAAACAAACAAGACCAAAAATAAAATAACATGAATGCGATGGACCACTTTATCAATATTGTTTTCCCCTAGAAGCGATAGTCAGCCTGTGTTTGCAGAAATGGTGTAGTGCCAAGAGTAAAATAAATCCTCCTGTAATTAAGGTCTCGCTCAAAGGAAGAAGACATGTGAAATGGATAAGGGGCGAGGTCTTTGGTGGGTGGATTAAAGATCAACGCACTAGTTTGTAAGGGAATCAAGGTGCCAGAGTAATATCATCATTGCAGGGTTGAGGGATAACCTTTGGCGACAGTTCAGGAGGTGGTGATCTCATCCCCAAGACACGAAACTTCGCTCACAAATTCATTGCTCCCTTACCTTCCCTGAGATTTATATATATGTGTGTGTACGAGACAAGTTAATAGGGGAAACATTGCACAATGACACTTCATCTGAAGAGTTTATGGCATTGTGAGAGGAACAATTTGTTTTGGGGGAGTAGAATGGGTCACCAGCTGCTCAACAGAGCCATGCTCACCGCCGCACAAAAGGCAAAGCTTGGAAATACTGGCAAAATACATTGTTTTGTATCTGCGAGTACGCAGATGCCAACATAATTGGAGACAGATTATGAGCATTTACTTATACAGCTGGGCATGTTTGAATCTTTGTAGCCTATGTCTATACTCTTAGATCAATTTTTTTTTTTAAGATTTAAATTGTACTGCATATACCGGTGGGTAGAGCGATGGTGCATTAGCCAGAGAATTGCACTAGGAACCCGGCTACCTGAGTTTCATTCCTGTCCATAGCTTACATCAGCGGTGAAGTATGGTCAAACTACTCCCATGAAACAACGTGGTATCTGATGGCTTTCATCCATCAGTGGATTGACAAAGGGCTGCACGTAATTATATTTAAAAAAATCTCTTATTGCATAAACCCATACATTATGACATTTCAGTGCCCCCCATTGACCCCAGTAGAACAACAGTGTATTATTCTGAATGACACACAGCAGATAAGCACTCTATCTTGAACTGCTTATCATTTTTTTTATGAAGATAATTCACACGGATGCATCGGACGTGTCCTATGGATTGGCAGCCTCAGCCCGTAGATACCGTGTGCGTGAGTCAGCACGTGATCGCCTGAAATGTGGGAGTGAAAACGTGGGAGTGAAACGGGGATTGTTCGTACAGTGTTATGCTTAGCCACCCACTAAGAAAACCCTCAAGAGTGATAGATTATCAGCTTTTCAGGATGATGACACATGCTCCTGTACAAGGAAATGTTTTATTTATATTTTAAGAAATAAAAAACAAGAAAAATAAGAGGGTTGTCCTGTGCAGAAAAAAAGGCAGGACATAAAAAAAATGCCCTACTGCTTTATAAATCGCTGGCTTGGCATGCACAGCTGAAATCTCATATCGCAGGCCATGCCGTGACCTCCAAAGCAATTTGTTTTATGCAGTGTCGGCATTTTAGCCATAGCTTTTGAACACTACTTGAACGTGTAAATATGATAAATCCATGAACGTGGTATCCCATGAATTACAACATACTTTTTGGTGTGAGCTTCTGAAGCTGCAAACACACAAGACAAAGATCCCCCATGTAGTCTACACAGTCTGTCTGGGAAAAGTGCTGTTTCAGAGCACCTATTTAGGTGGGCACAGCACATGAGGGGGTGGGTGGCCAGCACCATACCTGACCACCTTTGTCTCCCCAGGTACTCATTTAATGTTGAGTCAACCTACGCAAAGCCCAGGACAAGTCCAAATAATTAACTCCGATGTTGGTTTATGAGTGGGAATCGAATTTGGGTGGCCGGGTTTGTAGCGCCTTGCCGTAACCACTACACTACCGCTCCCTCTACACTCCAACAAAAGGGGCATCACGGTGGAGAGATGTTAACTATCTTGCCTGGTATGCAGGAGGTCGTGGGTCCGATCACGACACTGACGCCTGTATATTTGGAGTGTGCATATTCTCCCCGTGGTCACGTGGATTTTTCTTCAGGGTCCTCCGGTTTTTCCCTCAACATTTAGAAACACGCGCTTATAGTATTTGGCTGCTATACATTTCCATGTGATAAGCCACTTCGTTGAGCTATCATTTTTGGCCAGGTCACTTCTGATTAAAAGCTATATAGCTCAGTGGGCCTTACCTGGTAAAATAAAAAAGTTAACTTCACGGTTTAGTTTCAAACACACACACATGTACTAGCTTCATGAAGGAGTGAATTCTTAAGTCAATAAAATGTTCTTAGAATGCTGCATTGAAATGCTCACCCATGTCTTTCAGTGTTGACATGTCCCTTCCCCGTCACCTCTCCTCCTTGCCTGTGTGTGTGCGTGTGCGTGTCAGGATGACAAGGACCTGGTTCACGAGTTTGTCAATGCAGAGGGGTTAACGTGCCTCATCCGTGTGGGCGATGATGCTGACCAGAACTACCAGAACTACATACTCCGAGGTACACCTTACCAATTTTCCGCAGCACAAGCCGTGTTGGCTAAGGTAGACACTGCACAGGCTGTGAGGTTTGTGTGGGTGGTTAGTCACTGTACTAGTAGACATCAGTAATATCCGTATATAGAATCAGTGGCCTTCTGGGGCCCAACACTAAAATACGTGCCGTGTAGTTTGCCTTTCAAAGTGATTAATTGCTCATGTGAGCATTGAGAGAATGCTTGTATTCTGTTTACAGCCTTGAGCCAGTGATGGGTATTCCATATTCCTATGGTAGAGGCGAGTCGATACATTAGACATTCATTGTTGATTTCCCCACAAAGTTTTACTTATTTTATTAATCTCAGAGGGATGATGGACTGAGTCAATTCCCAATTCGTACTTGCAGCCGTTTCATTGCAAGCCATTCGATATATCAGAGTCACCTGGCAATTTGTCTTCAGCAACCTCCATCGCACAGTTTATATTACATGTCGGTAATTTTAATAATGAGAGTTTACACTATCATTTCCCTGGTTTACTTCAAGGTCCATATATTAATATGAATATTTTTTATTCACTTCATAAATTCACAGTTCTCTTGTATGCGTCGCATCTTAACCAGTTTACAATGCATGCTTAACTCAGCTTTTGAAATACAAGGATCAGCAGAACATACACTTTTTAAACAACATTTAAAAAAAAATTCCGGTAATTTATACTATGCCGTATGAAGATATTAATAAGTTCGAACTTATTGTTTTAAAAGGTTAACAATACTAATAGTTCGTGGAACAATAACGTGCAGGACTTCAGAGAGAACGCTTGCTTTTGAAATGCCCTTTAACGCGGGCGAATTCTCCGATAGCGCTGTACCAAAAAACTAAATTAAACGCAATTAACAATAAATGCCAGCTTTAATTACACATCACACCACATTATATGAATAGACATGTCCATACACGAAGCAATGGTCTCTTAAGAAAATACACTTACTCACTGCCACCACGAACAAAGCTTTGCAGTCAATATAGGAGAGGACTTGGTCACGCGAGCCATGATTTTAGACCTGGCCTTTTGAGCACATAAAGCTGGAATGCACTGCGGCGTATGATATGTGACCGTGTCACTGCTGGAAGGCTTGCATAAACACTTGACCTGTGGAGCCAAAAAAGTGTGTGGCACCTCTTTGCTTTAATTGCCCGATATTTTTCACGAATGCTAAACCTGTCCAGCCGTAAATTGATCTCGGGCACATTATTGCAAAAGTGATACTTAACGTTTGAATAGCGGCTTTAAAATAAATCAACAATCCACGTTTTCTTATTTTGCCAGCTAAAATTATTTTCTCTTTGCTTAGCGGTGGATTTTATGTGTCATTTATATTCTCCATTTGTTTTATGGACACTTTCGTCTCGGTCAGAGGTTGAAATTCATTATTCACTTCCAACGCTGTGTGCCCCGTAGCCCTGGCAATGATAAGTGAACTCGTTAAAAGTAATTGATGGGAGTAATTTTAAATATCATACCCTGACATAAAAATTTACCTTGCTTGTGTTGTAATACTTTGACTGATGTAAAAATAACAATTGCTTTGGTCTGGCCATTTTGAGTAAGTGATAGCCTAGATATTTGACTTCTTAGCTTGACCCAGTGATGTCACTATTGCACATGTCAGAGGAATGTGTAATACTGTAAAAGGCATGTGGTTGATGCTAAGTAATTTCTCTTCTAACTGCCATTAATTCACCATGGGGAGCAGATTAAATCATTATTTAATATTTTTGGAACAATGCCCTGCTGAACCCATGAAAAGGTCACGTGACTTGTTTTTCTAATTTGTCACAATGGTCGAGTAATATCACTCATGATCACTCATATCTGTATACACTGAATATTGTATTGTACTGTATGAAAAGCAGGGTGCATTGAACACAGCTGCATAATTAATTCATTGCATTAGATTGATTTTTATTTGTAAATCACAGTAACCGAACACAGACCCAGAATGCCATGTGGCCAGCAACAAAATAGCACTTGTCGATTGTGTAAATCGCAATGATTCATACGTTTCTTAAATTGAACAAGGTAATGGAAACTTAAAAAATAGACAGTGGGAGGGAATTCCAAAGTCAAAGTGAGGAAATAGAAGTGTTAAAAGGGGAACAACTGAAAACTCTAAACTATTTTCTATTTTCAACAATTTTTTATTTTACCAGTTAAGGCCCACTGAGCTATATAGCTCTTTTTCATAAGCGACCTGGCCACAAATAATATCTCAACGAAGTGGCTTATCACGTGGACATGTATAGCAGCCAAATACGATAAATGCACGTTGATTTTAAATGTGGAGGGAAAAACAGCAGGACCCTCAGAGAAAGAATCCACGTGACTACGGGGAGAGAGACACGCAAACTCCAAATATACAGCAGGCGTCAGGGTTGGGAAGTGTTGTGACCTGCAGTGGGTTGGTTGAACATGATGCGGATGAGATGAAGCAGCTGGCCTTGCAGAAAGAGCCCTCAATGTGTGCAGAGCAATCAAGGAGCGAAGTTTGTGGGAACGGTAATCATACTCGTGGAGACAGAAGAGAAATAAGGGGGTGTCTGACTGCCGATGAGTGAATGACAGGACTGAATAGGTGAGTTCTGCATCACCATTCAGCCTGTTTGATGTTGAATTATATCAAGTAGAGTGAGGTAGGAACTGCTGTAGTGGTTGGATTGGCGTCACAAATTGAAGGGGTTTAATTTTTCCCCAAATGTTATTTTTCACATTTTAAATTACTCTGCAGTATTTTTTTGCATGCAATAATGGTTACAGTTCAGCACAGAGGTGTTTTATTACTTATTTGTGCAATCAACTTAATACAGCAAGTGTTTCATAGTTCACCCAGGTGCTAAATTGTAATTCTCATGAACGTTCAGTATTCGAAATAATTATTGAAATACGTACTGAATAGGCATGAGAGGAGCTTAGAAATTATTGCACATTTCTTGAACTTAACGCAACTGCCCAGCTGATCACTGCTGTGCATACTTACCAAACGCAGTATGTAGACAATGCACTTTCATGAACACATCAGCATTTGGTTTGATAACCCTTTCCGTTGTGTCGTGCTTGACACCACAGACTCCCCACACGTTTTCTATAAACGATTGTGGAATCGTTTTACTCACTGTCAACTCCCGCAAAGAGTGCGGAGGGGATGTTTAACTTTGGAAACGTACAAGACCGCGTGTCTGTGGTGTGTTCTATATGTCCTCTCTAATGGCAGGGGAGAGTGACATTTCACAGGTCAGCACTTTAACATCTGCGCGCCTTTCAGGGAGAATTCTGCTGTGGCTTAACGGTTAGCACACTGGACTTCCAATGCAAAAGTTGCCAAGTCGATTTCCCGGCACGACAATTAATATATTCTTCTTGGTTCTTTTGGTAAAGTCACGTAGAAGGGAAGTAATAAAATAATAAAAATAAAACATAATAAAATAATTCTCACGACGTTTCGGCCACAACGCAAGTAGCCATCCTCAGGTGGAGAACAGGTCTGTCGAGGAGACAGAGTTTGTCTCCTCGACAGAGTCTGTCTCCTCGACAGACCTGTTCTCCACCTGAGGATGGCTACTTGCGTTGTGGCCGAAACGTCGTGAGAATGATTTTATAATGTTTTATTTTTATTATTTTATTATTTCCATTCTACGTGGCTTTACCGAAATAACCAAGAAGATGAACCTCTTTTATCAAGCGCCTTTCATTTTGAAGTATCTCAAAGGGCTGTACGTACAAATAAAACTACACCCACAAATATAGATACAATCTAAGCGAAATTAAAAAGCTGATAATAACAATATTAATGACTACTCTCGAAATTCCATTAAAATAAAATGAAGAACCTGGCCATCCTGGAAGAGTAGGCCAAATACCCCTTGAGAGGGGCTCTGTTGAGCTCTCTCTCTATGTGGAGGCCCATCCTCCAGCAGTGCCATGGGTCAGCAATTGGAGAGTTGCACCTTCCCAGACAACTCCCACGCGTCGCAATTCCAGAAGGCCTCGCAGATCATGAGCTGCACTTTGATAAACCACAAGAATTAAACACTTTTTAACAGAGACGGGATTTTTTAGTAAAAATGTGGTAACTATATGAGCTGCTGCACAATGTGGCTGTATAAGCAAAGTTTTGACGTTCAATTAAATGCCATGGTTCCCGCGGTAACGTGGTTCCTGCATATATTACAATTAATTATATCAATGCATGCGTTATGTGTTTACTTTACACATATATTGCATAATTGTTTATATTACTTATAACAGGGATCATGTAAAATGTATTTGCGTGTTTACCTTCGACCGAATACATTTCATACAGTATGAGCAAAGCAAAATGAGAAATACAAAATAGGTTTCTCAGACAAACACACACATACACGGACTAAATTGTGCAGAAATTGCCGGAATGTGTTTCAGTAACTTATTTGCCTTTGTGTGTGTGTTTTTTTTTGTTTACTTTATTCAATGCCCACCTGAGTACAATTACGTTCGGGGCGATTATAAAATTGTTCCCAGCTTTCCGACGCAGCATGTATCAACAACGCACCTTAGCCCGGGGGTCACGGCAGACCCGAGTGAAAGACCTGTAAAAAAGACCGTGGCAGATTTTTTTTTTTTGCAAGAGACTAAATGTGTGCCAGTTGTACGTACACCTTGCAGCGTTTAGGTGAGCGTGCAGAGATCCCATTGCAATCGTCATACCCCATTACACTGTCAGTCCCTCTTAGATTCCAGATTAGGCTGTCATTATGCAATCAAGCCTTTAACATCAAGGGTGAAATTGTATGCTATTTTGCTTTTTTACAAAGCTCGTGCTCGCAAGATTTTTGCGAATCAATGAATGGCTAAAACATTTCATGAGTATCCTTGGTGAGCTCAAGGGACAGCATTGGCCGTAGAAAATTACACGGAGAAAAGTGCCATTGTGGTGGTTAAGGAGATTTTTGCCAAAATGCATAACCTTTTCTTTTACTTGGAGGTAAATACTAAACTGTGTGATTTATATAATTGCGTGAAACGTAACATTCATTTGGACTACTGTTTTTCCACACTTCCTATAGGATCACCTAAATCTTTTTTTTTGTTGTTGATGTAATTCTATAGGATATTTTTTCTATAAATTTACCGTTCGGCTACTAAGAAGTTTTAACAGTAGGCTACCATTTCGGCTTCCATAAATCTGATTGCCGAGCAAAAATATGCGCTTGGTAAACGTGCTGCTTTGCGCAGGGTTAAGTTTCATTGGAGATTTTTTTCTCTCAAAAAAATGTCTTTCCATATATTTTTTGTGTTGCTCTCCAGTGGGACACCCGTAGACTTAAAATTTACAACCACTGACGCAGAGCATGCAGGGCGCAAATGAAAAGTCAGTTTATTGTGTTCAGGTTTGTGCTCCTTCGCTGTGCCATAGACCTGGTCTCAGGAGTGCACGTTTACAACCCAATACTGGCCAGTGAAGTCAATGAGAAAGGCAATCCCCTGTTTATGCGGAAAATAAATTACATTTGGCACGAAATTAATCAGACCAAACTGGTGCGTGGACCTATTACAAACTCTTAACAGTTATTCAAACTTTAAACAAACGTCAACAAACTGATGTGCTAAGAATACATGTTGATGCCTTTAAAGATTGTATCTAGAATTCTCATATGTAATACATTAATTATTAATAATATTAGTTACAAAACAAGACCCACTTTTGTTAAGCATGCCACCACCGCACTGCTTGATTTATATGTATTCACACAAACTTAATTGATCGGCTGAGTATGTCATTTTCCAGTTCGCGAGTTCGAACTATGGTCATGGTCAGCTCGGCCCATCATCCCCGTAGGCCACTAAATTGAGTGACAACTGCTGAGACTTGGTGGGAACTGAACAGTTGGCTTCCAATGGAGAAACATTCAATTTCTTATCCCTGGCTCAAGGCCACCAACGAATATGAACGCCACTCCAGCCGTAGTATAGCTGTGGTTGGTTACGTGGACAATAGATTGTGTATGTTGAACTTGTTTTGCATCGTACGTAGCCAAATGTCCAAATCGGAGGTTGGGCAAATGTATGTACCCCAAACCAGAGGTGGGACAAAGTCATTGTTATGCAAGTCCAAGTCGAGTCTGAAGTCATCAAATTCATGACTCGAGTCTGACTCGAGTCCAAGTCACATGACTCGAGTCCACACCTCAGAGGTGGGACAAAGTCATTGTTATGCAAGTCCAAGTCGAGTCTGAAGTCATCAAATTCATGACTCGAGTCTGACTCGAGTCCAAGTCACATGACTCGAGTCCACACCTCAGAGGTGGGACAAAGTCATTGTTATGCAAGTCCAAGTTGAGTCTGAAGTCATCAAATTCATGACTCGAGTCTGACTCGAGTCCAAGTCACATGACTCGAGTCCACACCTCTGCCCCAAACCATCTCTTCAACCTCATTTAGACAGCGTCGAAAAGTAGACCGAATGACCCTCCTTAAACGAGAGGCTTGATTCTCGCAGTGACTTAGAAATACAAACAATAATAACATGTACAGTAAAAGTTCACTCCTGCAATTGCTCGCTCACGCCACTGCTGGCAGAAGGGCCTCCACTAGAGGGAGCTCTAGAGAGCCCCTTTAGATGGTATTTGGCCTCCTTCTCCATGCTGACCAGCTGCATTGGAAGAGGTTACCTCCACCGCACGTGACCTGCCGATCACCTAACTGTGGTGGAGGTGGTGAACCCATTGACGCTGCAGGGTTGGCAGAGGTGGAGTGAGGGTGGAGGGTGAGGAGACTTGCCCCGTTGTTTCAACTGCAGCTCCAAGACATTGAAGCGAACTGTCGACCTCTGGATGATTGCAAGTCCAGCGTGTTAAACTTTACACCGTGGCAACATCCCACGACAAAATAGAAACGTGTCATAAATTTACGTTAGCTGAATACGTGCCCTTTTTTCTTCTCTTAAATCGAGTTTGCAATATGCGGAGATTGGTTGCAGAGCAGCCCTAATAGATATAAGCCATTTAAGGAATGTTGCGCAACAATTCTCAACGTCTATCACATCGACACACAAACACAACAAATCCGAGCAGCGTTCAAATATATATTTTGCCTTTGCCAGGAATCCGTGCCAAGTAGACAAATATGGCTCAGCAATGCGTTCATATATCTGGGAGTGTGCGTGTTGGTATGTGCGTGTATGGGGAGCGGTCGAGTAGCGGTTAGCGCGCTGCGCTATGAACCCGGCGACCCGAGTTCGATCCCCGCGACGATTATCTGAACCGGTCCTGGGCCTCTCCTAGGTCGACTAAACCTCAAATGAGTACCTGGTGCGATGTGTAAACATCGCCACTAGGGAGACAAAGGCGGCCGGGCGTGGTGTTGGCCACCCACCCCCTCGTATGCTGTACCGGATTTCATAGGTGCTTGCTGAACGCACTTGCCCCTACAGTCTGTTCAGGTTATAAGGGGGATCTTTGTCTTTGTATGGTTGCAGGTCTCTTTACGTTCAGTGCAATGTATGCTAACCAGAAGAAAGTTAAACAACATCAGAAAAAAACGCAAAGAAAGAATGTGGGCTTCTCTGCTGGGTTGTACCAGGCATTCAGTAAAACTGTACTGTAAATGTTTGGTTAAAAAAAAGCTATTATGAAGTCCCATGAATTAAAATAGGACAGTTTTACTTAATCGTGCGAGAGTTCAAATTTAATCCCAGAAGTTTTAGAAATTCCATAGATGTTTAAGGGTTTAAAAAACGTTCGTATTTTTAACCGGTTTTTGTGTGAAGTACTGGAAATTGAGTGGCTTTAATGTTATCAATAATTGTCACTCAGGAACTCGCACAATCCTTTAAATAAACATTACAGTACAGTACAACATTCCATATCCGACCATCGCATATTCGCCTTCAACAATTAACCGACCAACACTCACGGCAATGTTTGTGCGTGGTTGTAACTTCTATTTTCTATAGGTGTCCACATATCTGACCTTTTTACTTAACCCGCCGATTCCACATTCCCCGGTGAATAGGATATGCGACGTTGTCATCTTGAATGTGTTTTTTTCACGAGTTCCCAATGCAGTAGAAGCACATTTTTTTGTACAATAATGTAGCCACGTTTGTTAATCAGCAATTTCCCATGCTTATTATTTCCATCATTGTGCTATGCACTGTGTTTGGGTGGCGGTTAAAAGCCAGTCATGACAAAAGACAGATTTACAAACAAACTTCAACTCTTTGGAATTAAGTAAAAAAAAGTTTGTATCTTCTTAAAGAATTCCAGTTTGTCTTGCCTTTGCTTTACCAAAAGATTAAATGCATGGCCATGATGTATTTTATGAATTTGTCAGGCTTGTACAAGTCATCTTTGAAGTGCTTGGATACCGCAGAGGGATCCTTGCTGTCCAAGTTGAACATGACTCTGTACCTGGCCTCTACCTGAACCTGTGCTGTGTGTGTGTTTCCCGCAGCTCTGGGCCAGATAATGCTGTATGTGGACGGCATGAACGGCGTGATCGCCCACAACGACACTGTGCAGTGGCTCTATTCTCTCATCGCTTCAAAGGTACCTTTCAGCAGCAAGGATGCAAATCAGGGCAGTGTTGAAGTTGAAAAGGTAGAGAGGGTGGCAGTTGTGGTTGGTGGCAGTGACTTGATACAAGTACATTCTGTGTATACGGTTTGTATATCTGACAAATACTGCTATTTTTCTCATTTAATAATGTTACTTTGAAGCTTTCGTGACTGCAGGAATTCCATACTCTTTGGTTCTTTCGGTGTTTTTCTACCTAGGTGACTTTACCGAAGGAAGCAAAGAGTATGAACAATGTTAGTTTTTACGTGCGATGCTTTATTTGTGTTGCGAACACCATCTTAAAATAAATGTGCATGAAGTCACCGTGTTGCGTGTACGTATTTAAACAAAGACAAAGATCTCCTGCATGAATCCAATTGGAGCACATGCTGATAGAGTCGACAGTGTTAGGGCCATAGTGTGCACTTGATAATCGATAAAGCCAGCAAAGACAAATACAAATATCCCCCCTTATAGCCTTAACAGACTGTTGGGGCAAGTGCTGTTAGCGAGCTGCATCTATGAAGGCCAGTAAAGCCAGCAGCACCATGTCCACCACCAACCCATTACCTGCTCAGTGCTAAAAGTGACATTGGCAAGTACTCGATGCTAGAATAATATATAATAATATATATTATATATAGCATCATCTGTCGGAGACCCAAGCCAGGCTCGTTTACCTCTTTGCCTTTGCTGACATTACCTTGAATTTTGGTACGTGATTTATTTATATTCTTGGTGATTATTTGTGTCTTGTTACCGTAATCAAACATTCTATGGAAAAATTATTGATGTCCTTTTCATCGTAATTTCAGTGATACATTTAATTTTGAAGATGTGATTTTTTTTTTGCCATGAAGGTCAATCATAAACGTCGATTGAAATTGAAAAACCCTGTAAAATGCATACAAAGCCATTAGTGCTTACAGAATTGAACAATTACACAAAATGTAAAGGAATTTTACGATGGGGAACACGCCATAGGGCGCCATAACATACTTTCTGTGCCTTGGAGGATTTACATTGTGAGGGATTTACTGGTTGGACATAGAACACACTTAGCAGCTTCTTGGTACTTTCGGTAAAGTCACGTAGAAGGAAAATAATAAAGTAATAAAAATAAAACATAATAAAATAAGATAATTCTCACGACGTTTCGGCCACAACGCAAGCAGCCTGCCGTCCTGCAGGTGAGGACGGCTGCTTGCGTTGTGGCCGAAACGTCGTGAGAATTATTTTATTATGTTTTATTTGTATTATTTTATTACTTCCCTTCTACGTGATGACTTCACCGAAAGAACCAAGAAGATGAATCCCTGCAGTCACGAAAGCTTTAAATCGAAACACTTAGCAGCATTCAAAACTATTGGATTCAATGCAGGAACGCCAAATTTTGCATGTAAATCTCCACTCTCAGCAGTGGCAACATGGTACATTTACCGAGGGCCAAAGCTGGACATTTCCACCGTGCTCTTTAACGAATTCCCCCCCTCCCACCCCCCACGTTGTTTTTCTCCACGTACAATGCCCCTGCCATTATTTGCACGTTATTCTTTTGCACGTAATTGGTTTCCGTGGTTAATAACTAAAAGACTGGCGATGTGGAACTCAAGTGCAACGGTGTAGCAGATGCCAAGGGGTTGATGGATAACTGAAGGATAGGGGGCAATGTGCATGGAAAAAAATAGAAATTTGGTTGCACTGTTAGTTTTTCTTGCAAAAGAGTAGGTGTGGGCTAACTAACATTCCATCTCGGCCCCAAATCTTCGTACATATGCCACGTGAATGAGCTTCAGTAATGCACCTCGTATATGTAAATGCGTTGGCATAGCCAGGCTTGAGTGCAGGGTCATTGGTAGTGCAGTTCAGGAGCACTATTTAAAAGTGTTAAGCATTGAGAGGGGTAAGCTCTGCACTCGATATGCTAGTCCCTCGGTGACATGCATTGCTCTCTTGTGTAAAGCAATGATGTACAGCCACAGGCTTGAGATTGATTTTCACTCTCGTTTTTAATCGCTGTGCAGAAGAGCAAGAGAACATCCATCCAACCTTTTCGTTTTTATTCGCCAAACACTTTTAACCGCAGCAGTTTGAGGATTAGGTTTATTTCCATAATGCAATTTCAATTCAAACAGACGAGAGTCGAATAACTTGTTGCGGAAAAGGTGGAAACCGAAGATGGAATTGGCGACTCGGAATCGGCGACACGAGGCCAGTGTGTTGGGTAGACGCTTCCCAGGCACTGAAGTTCATTCCAGTGCCGTGAAATCCGGTGCAGATTTCACGGTGGCCCTGATTTCCATCGCTGTCTGTCAACGTTATGCGTGGAGCACTGAACACGTAGACACATCATTCATGGGGAGGTTTTGTCCCATCAGAAGTCAGCTAATCCACTAAACTCGAGGAGTCAAACGTTGATTGATTTTCCACGAGCATAAGACGGCAGTCGTCCATGAGCTCAGCAATAGCTTTACTCGAATGTTTTGTGTTTTTGTTTACCTTCACCGATTTTTATTTATTTATCAACTTCGTCTATACGTCAGAGGTCGCAACCGGGTACCCGATACCCGTACCCTACCCGATACCCGTACCCTACCCGATACCCGGCTACCCGTACCCAGCCGGGTACGGGTACGGGTACCCGTTTGCGACCCTGATGCGGCCGGGTACGGGTAGGCCGTGAGTCACTTGTGAGTAACCGTTTGTCACTCATTTCGGGTAGGGTACGGGTAGGGAACGACCCTTGTGCGGCCGGGTACGGGTATGGGTAAGGAATCAAAACCCGTTTGCGACCTCTGCTATACGTGTTTGAAAATGGCAGTTGCATTAACTTCCGTTCAGGGTTGAGCATCGAAGCGCATAGTAACACCCTCGACGTTTTTGAAGCGGCATCTGTATTCAATTTCAGCCGTTGACAGCTTCGACCAGTGCCTTGTTTGGCGATGTTTGAACAGTGATTTGGAGCGCCAATAGAAATACCTAAAAAGGATTAACTTCGTTTTTTTCAGTAAAACTACATAAAAATTAAAGTCAGTGTATGGATCTAGTAGCTCACATTCTCTCTTCAAATTCTGAATTGAACAGTTAAAAGAATATTCTTAATTTAATAAATTATGCTTATTGTGTTTCGTGGTATTGTTCTCCATGACATACAGTTGCTAATGTAAATACGTAACTATAAGAATATACCGTGAATCAATGACTACCTGCTATGATAGTTGGAGCAGAAACATGGGCATTTCATGCGGAAAATTAAAGAAAAATGTTAAAAGTGTGCAAATAAGCATTGAGAGTTTCCTGCTTTTAATTACATTGAGATACGGAAAGATTAGGGAAAGATTAGGGAACATATACACACAGGTTAAAGACATTATCTTAACCGATAAGAGAAGCTCGTGTGCTTGGGCAGGACAAGTGGTTACGAGGGATGAGGCCCAGCGGCCGAGAAGAACAACACAAGGAGATAATTTACCCAAGAGGACGTCCGGCATAGGGACGGAGCGATGAAAATCCGCTCGCGTGAAAGTGCCAGGTAGATTGTTGCATCGCACGAGAGTGTGAGGAGGTGGCGGTGGCTTCATGCCATCGATAGTGGCTCACGATAATGATGATGATGATTGAATCCATCTTTCAATGGGCAGTGTGGATTAATGTATCCAACCGAGTCTCAACTGCAGGCTGAGGCTTGTTCAGCAATTCAATGCAACACCCTCTGCATTCGAACAAAGCTCCACCCATCTGCCCTAATCCGGCCTGCACCTGAAATCTTGCCAAACAATAAACTGCCCACAATGAGTTATCAGGATACTTTGCGTCAACCCGTTGCTATTCAGTGCAGTGGCTGCTGCCTGCCAACATGCCAACAGCTTCTGTTTTCCTCTCCTTGAGAGGACCTATAGCAGCCGAGTGTTTAGCGATAAGGTTACCTCTTTCCTTCTGGACAGAAAGTGCTCTAATGTTTGAGGAATGTTTGTTATTTTATGCACAGGCATTGTGAGCATGCCTGCACTCAGATTCTTTGGTGATGCCATACGAATTTGGCAATTGTTCTCTTTTCCATCGATTTCACACTTGCCACGATTCTCTCCATGCACATACGTACATATACTTACTATTTTAGAGTAAGTATATATGTTATGGTAATTGTAGCTGAACGCACGTTACGTATATTTAGTTTTCAACTCCATGGTTATCTGTGTAATTATAGACCTTGTGAGATAAGGTGCTCCCAAAATAGTCACCTACAACAATTCACAAGTCGCTGCCATGAGATCCATTCACTATTCTTTGCGACAATTGTGCAGATAAGCAAGGACAGATTCATATTCTTGGTTCTTTCAGATTCATGCTTGGAATTACCTTGAGAGACGCAAAGAGCAATGTGTGGATTAGTGAACAAACGCAGGATAATTGCGTCGGATAAACTACGAAGCAATGTGAGTGAGGTTGCCCAGGATATGCTAGAAGGGGCGATGGTGAATAACAACAATAACGGAGAGGACTCACACCAAGGAGATGGAGCGAGGAAATCAGTTTATGTGTAGATACCTGGTGGATTATTACATCACAAGAATCATGAGTACTTGCAGATGGATGCCTTCCATCCAGCAGTGGATTGACCATGACTGATGATGATTATTTGTGTACTGCTGGATGAAGCCCTCCCAATACGCAGGCTCTGACAATGCCATTCCCAAATGTTCCCCAATGTCCGTGGTCCAATTTCCCTTTTGCCGGGGGGAGGGGCGGTGGTGGTGGACGCCTGTAATCCAACACTGCAGAGGCGAGCGTTGGTGGATCGCTCAAATATCGTCAAACTTCTATCCCGTAGGCATCATTGCAGTCGGCAGGAGAGCAAATGTTGTGGACCTCACCTGTTCCGTCTGTATTGGACAGCGTGTCCCCCCGCAATTGATTTCATATTCTAGAATTTCAGATTTTGAAAGATTTAAGATTATCAGATTTTTCGATCACACCTATGATCCAGCACT